GTGCACTATGTTCTACAAATTCAATCCATCCATTTTAGGAGGAATTGTGGTGACCTTGAGATTAACTCCTACAGTTCAAGTTATTGTCAGCATTGATCCTACAACAGACAGGCATGGCTGAGGCACATACGTATTCTTGTGAAAAGTAGTCATATAATTACGTCTTTATAATTATGTCGATGTTCATAATTTGTGTCAATACAATTACAGAATAGTACCGGTAGCTTTCAGCACATTCAGGACAAGCTAACTGTGGTTTCTACTTGACTGAAGATGTGATCATTTTTTCGACAATCATAAATCAATGCATTTGTTTTTGATTACAGGTTTAACACAATGTTTGAGTAATCATGGTAATCACACTGTCCAAAAGGAACAAAACAAAATATAGAAAGCTTATTTAATGAGAAGACAGGAAAATGAATATATGGAAAAAATATTAAGGCCCCTACACATTTGACATGTTTGACAACAGAAGAAACTATAAAACCATTATCTCTGATCAACTGCTGATAACATCTGGTTCAAAATATATTGCAACACTAGACACAGCAAAGTCATAGTTTGATACTGAACTACAATCATTGATTTGTGCATGAAGTGATTGCAATCTATCATCACACTAGTTATCTGGAAAGCATGCATATTCTGCCAAAATGATGTATGAGAAAAACCTGATCTCAGTCCCCACCATGATAAATGTTGATGATGTAGCATGTTTTATATTTTAGTATTATGCACAAAATCAACAAGGTGCTACAAACATTTGCATCCAAAGTCAAATACCAGCAGTGATGCCTTACTCTCAATACGACCCATTGATATTTCACGGCATCAGTGGCTGAATACTGATCCCCGCTTCACAGGAAGCCCATCATCAGGGCTCATGATTCCGAGGAAAGTCTCGGAGAATTAGTGTCACTGCTCCATCCAAGATCTCCATCAGCAATATTCAATGATAGGTGGATTTGAGGTGTTACTCTCTGAAGGTGGAGATACAACAACCAGCGTACTTGATAGAAACCTCCCTGAGTCACATCCTCATGTCAAATCACACTGAAGGATCAGGCATGAAGCGTAAAAGTATCTGAAATTGTTTAACTAGACTTAATTACTTAGTCAAGCAAACTTCAGACATTTGCAGTCTAAAAGTAACACTATTAAGCATAAATAAAGTCAGCTATTCCCTTTCAGTTGATCAGTGTTATGCTGATGTGGGGAAAGCACTTAACTCGGTCTTCACTCCAGTTAAGTAATGATCCATGTTGTACTCAACATAAAGAAACGAACACATATCAATACTCATTATAACAATCCCTTCTTTAAAGCGTTTATGGTTAGATATCTGATAATGTATTTCATGCTGTATTGCTTTCTTTCATAGCAGTGCCAAAAATATGTTCACCTTCTAGCCTGAACTTGTCTAACGGAATGATAAATTGTAATACAAAATGTAATAGCGTATCAACAGGACTAAGTAACGGGTCGATGGTAGACGGAACAAAGTCATCTTCTCACCAGTCCCCCTGATAGGCAGTTGAAGTGTAGTTGACCACGTGAACTGGCTGATAAACATGGAGACAAGGTGTTTTGGCATGGCAGTTACCATGTTTATGGAAGAGACTCATACACGTTCTTATACTTTGAAACAGATCTTTGACATGGCAAACCCTCAAAGTGTTGATTTATTGTTTTCCAGTTTTTATTGATACAAAGAAAAACATTTCATTTGGTACCTTGTAACATTGATGTAAAGTATCTATACTTAAATGCAAAGGTTGATTATTCTCTATATATTTTTAACGTGTTCTTCACATAATTGGTTCAGTTTGAATATATGGTACTGATGAGCAGTTTCAGATATGTCTACAATTTCTTTAGGTAGTTGATAACGGTATTCATTAAAATCTTAAATCATTTTGTGTCTTGGCACCAATACCCATCAAAATTGGCATATTTGCCAGAAAAATCAATTGCACCACAATACACATTTGTCATAAAAAATAGAAACAAAAAATAAACAAAAATTCTTGTAATCAGAATTATGCTTTCATTGTGTTTTATTATATTGATCGCAATACATTATAACATAATATGTTCTTTCCCAGTGTTTCTTCCGTCTATTTTATACTGTGGTTTTGTTGTTTATCTATGGCTGTTTACACATGACCATAAAACATGTCTGAGAGCACCCCCTGTTCACTAATTCTGCTGCCAATAGATCTCCAACCTCCCTAGAGCCTAGACATGTTAAATGCAATGTCCATGCATCAGGTGTATCAAGGGTTGAAACAAGTTGAACGCATTTATATTCAGAGACACAATCCCCAACAGGGAATGCGACAAGAATTTAATGACAATAGAACACGACTGAATGTCCACACTCTCTGCGTGTTAGTCAATTATCATGGGTGCCCATAATGACGGCCTCTTGACAACATAACTATGTTTAATGATGAACACAACCAAGGACACCAATTAATGTGTTAGGTTTCTTTGAACTTTTCCATAGTTCACCCTAAAAATAAGTGTAACTGTTGAGTGGTCTTACGACCTTCTGATAATGACCACCTCGTGAACCATCCCAGTACACTTATCATATTACTGTCTTCATCATGCTTGTGAACTTGTTAATCTTTCATCATGACATATGCACACGATTAAAAATTATTCATTATTTCTTTGCACAAGGGACACCAAGTCAATTTTCGAAGCACTTATCTTGTTATATTAACAACTGACATATAGGCATGCTACCACATAATAGGATGCACTTGCCTACATAAACATGATAAAGGAACAGTTAGTGAGTGTAGGAAACCTATTTCCTATTACCGCGATCAAAATCAACTAATTCACATTTGTTATTATTATTCTACCTTGATGGCTGTCCAAAATGCACCTTACAGTTACCAAGGTTAGTGTACCCTAATTTCAAAAGTTTTTTGAATATAATACAATATTATGTGAGGTCACTGTACTCACTGTACTTCAACGCTTAAATTTCCTCAGCTTACAAATTCTCCTCAGTATTAGTATGGTATTCTTATCTTAGGCTATCAATTTCACAAGTTGTTCTCAGTCCAATGTCAAAGTAACTTTCTGAAGCTTGTAGCAACCTCTCTTGATAAGTTAACTTCTTGTTGTACCAATGTAGCACCACTTGGTGAATGGACTCTTGCTCATTGTTGTTTGTTGGTGGTGGTGTTGGTGGTGGTGTTGTCGTTGTTGTTGATGGTGGTGGTGTTTCCATTAGTATTAACTCAACCCTAACTTTGAAATGTAAGGACATCAATTACAAGCTACTTATAAAAGTCTCTGAACTTCCCAGTGTACATATTATAAGACCCCAAACATGCTGGAGGAACGTCTAGCAGCTGAGTACAGTGGTCTGGTTCATGTGTTTTTGACAAAGCAAAGTCTTTAATACTTATCCAGAAGTGAACTGTCACAAAAGTTAGTGTCTGAGTCATCTTTGAACAGTAATGCAGATATACCAGTGTGTGAGTTTGACAACAGACATTTGTCGTTGTACATGACCCAGTAAATGATGTATCTTGTTGGGCCTTGTTCATATTGTAGGGTATGGTGGTCATAAATGATTATTCTTATATGTGTGTACAGCTATCAATTCCTGTTGTTAGAATTTGGAGGAAGATAATTGTTATAGATCATCATATTATATTTTTAACATGGCTCTTTGCATCAGTTTCAGTAGATTTATTGTGATTGTTATTGTCTGATTTATTGTTATTATCTGGAGTATTAATAGCTGAGCTTTCTAGCCTAAAGTGAATTTTACTAGACTCTGGCTTCAAACTAGTGGCTAAAGTCTTAGCCTGACACTCAAGTAGGGCTGGGATGAGTCCAAATTTTCTACCCGGGTACCCACCCACCTATTACCCGACCCTACCCGGTTATCCGCTGTAGGTCTCAAGAGATAGGTACAAAATGTCTGATTGGGAAACGTTTGACCATCATGACCATACTCCTGTCAAATTGTATTTAGATACAGGTATAAAATGATCTGGTCATGGATACACTGAAGTTGACTGCAGTTTTATCTTTATGCAAACATATAAAGTCAGAATGTGTGCAGAGTCAGAAAGAAATGTGATCATTTGTCACTTATTGTGTAACCATAAGAGTTCTAGATAATTGTTACCAATAAACAATATAATCACGTGACTAACCACGGGTCCGGGTAGTCCTGTGAGCATGGTGAGTACCCTACTCAGTACCCACGTAACCCGTCCCAGCCCTACACTCAGGTATGGAAATCATGGAAATATCTTCTCTGATCGACATACAAACTCATAGTGGATGCTTGACCAATCTCAAATGTGATCAGACAATTTCAGGTTTTGCAAGTTACACCACAGCTATCAAAACAAATTATGCAATAATTCGATTGAGAGGTATTGTTTATGGTAGAGTCTGTTGCTCTCTTATGACAGCTGCTGCGCTTCCAACGTAATCTGCTGACACTTTCCAATAGCTATCACCTGAATGCTTCTTCTTGAATAACAAATAACCTGCACACTTGAATGTATGACCTAGTTTAAATAACTACATTCTCTTAAAAACCAATGCTACTTACACACATAACAAGCTTTTCATTGAAAAATAATTATTCATATTTTTAAATATTAATCACAAACACAAGTCAAATAGGAGGACCATGCAGGTGCAGGCAATATTATTTATACACTATATTATATTATCATTGGTGACTCACGTGTTGTATGGAAAGTCATGAACTATAGCATGATGGAAATCACTGTTGATGTAGGGCCTAGGTCAATATTGATATATTTCCCTACTAAGTAAACAAATAACGCCATTAAAATTTCTTATGTCAAAAACGATGAAGTGGCTGGTGAACCGTACATTTGTTGATATGTTGATAAGTGTTATCATCCAATCAGACACTTAAAATATCTGTAACAAATAAAGGACAATTATCCATTACTGACATGGGCCACTGTCCCGTCTCTTACCTTGTGAAACTGTTGTTGAAGTGAAAATGGCCAACACACAAACAGCCACTTTCACAAACAATATGTGTGACTTTTTCCATGTATATCCGTTGCTTAGTGTGTAACTCCATCTTTCTGTCTTCATCTTCACAATTTACATCATCCCCCGTTTGTTTGGGATTTCAACGACACAAGCTCGATTTACCACTGTTGATTTGATTAGGCCGAGGAAGACGAGATATATGCACAGCGATCCTGTCCAATATGCAACCGTGCTCTCTGGCTTCGAGACACACGCTAGAAAGCAGCCAATATATGAGCAACAGACAGTTGGCTCTGCTAGTGCTTACTGGACTATTTCACAGTGAATCGTATCAACTAATCCGAATATACGACAGTTGTACTTGGGTTCAACAAGTTTGATCGGAAGTTTACACCGACGCCATGATGTGATCGACTCTGGATGGTGTCACCAGACGACCGATTACCTTTCACGGGTGATCATTCCTTGCTTGATATCTTTCGTTACCTGATGAAGAATACACACATAATCCAATAATTCCTTCCCAAAATGATATGTAGATCTTGTGTTTCAACTCCACTGTTCACACGTTCATTAAACACGGCAGGTACTCGTGCTTTGTGTTCGAATACAATGAGTCACGTGACACCTACGACATTTCTGATTGGCTAATGTCTCAGGTAAAAGGGGAGTGGTCAAAGTGGAGGTATACACAGTGAAATACCAGTGCAGTGACGTGTAGAGCAACACTCATTTCATTTACTGCTTATGTCAAAGGCGTTTTAAGAATTTGGTCTGGATGACATATACATTCTGTCAAGCCTACTGTATAGCTCAAAGGTACTTTGAACGTTTTGCTGGCTATTAGGGACACCTGCCGACAGGTAATCGTCCGACAAGTGAGATATTTTGTTGATTCGTTGCGTTATGGTGTTACGTAACACAACACGCTTATGTTTTAACGATTTACAGACAAATTGATGTATGCAATCCTGTTGTTTCCTTTCAATGACTATACTAATCTCTTTCTATGAATTAGATATATATTTAATATACAATTATGTTCATATGTAACACCTGTCATAATCAATTTTGACACTTAATGTGACGTGCATTTCATTTGAGACTGCACATATACGCATATTTGGATATGTTCGTTGTTTATTGACATTTGACAGTTGGTACCGATGTTTGTACAAAATTCATTTTTTTAATGTCATTGTTGACATTTACTCCCGTCAGAAAGTCCCCCACAACAAATGTCATGACAGATAATGTGTGCCACGTGTTAAGTCAAGGAGTCTATCTCATGTAGACGTCCTGGTCAAATACATCACCTGTAAGCGATCGTCCAATGTGTGATATCGTGGTACCCACATGCATACCGAAAGCCTGTATACGTACCCTATACACAGACCTAAAGCTTATATCCATATCACACCTGTATGGCATTGAAAACCTCGGACATTCACGCCGGTCGTTCACAGGTGGCAATAAACGCAAGATACAGTGGTACCCAGAGCCATAAAGAAAGACTCATTTAAACTTAAACGGTTATAGCAGACCATGGAGATTCGGTATCTAATTACCTTATTTTAATAAGCGCCATAACACACGCCGGATACATGTCATATTCATATACCAGACCGTTAGTGTTTAAAGTTTATTATCCATTCAAGCGATCGTTAGCATATTATTATTTCTTATTTACTTATCGGTATTTTATTATCAAGGGATCTGATATCACGTTCTTTTATTGAATTTACAAAATTCCCAGAAAATGTCAAAGTGTCAAATTGACATTATAAGTCTGGAAGATCGTACATTGTCAGATTAATTTGCACGATTATGTCGTGGAATATCCCAAATGTGACACACGTATACATCTGTAGGCGTAATTGCCTGTCGGGTAATGGAATCCCGACATCTTACTCCACTTTAATCCCAAAGGTCCATATGGCATTGTCGGTATGCATTTGGCTTTGATTTGAACTTCGAATTGCCACTTGAATAAAGCTGTATCCTTATTTTCTTGTTGCTAGGATGCGGGGTAAGGCCCCTAGCGTTAGTTTAGTCGATAGTATGGGAGCCTCGGTCTATTGTTTAGGCCCCCACACACAATAGCACCCCGACAACCATTTCTTCTTATCATTTACGGTGTCTGTTTTCTGTCGAGAATTCTTGCTATGGGGAAATGTCAAGGAGGCAGGGGAGTGGGTACAGGGGGCAGGCGAGAGGGTAAAGAGACCAGGGTTCGACTGATAACACCGTCTCATAACGTCCCCACGTACATCAGTAGTGGTAAAACCAGACAACGTGTGACCTGCCGCTTTTAACACTGAATGTCTGTACAGTTGTCGATATCTCATGTATGTCTAACAGCTGATGGCCAATTGCAGGTGTGGTCGTTTTATAGTGAGATAGTAAGGGTGAAGAGAAGGTCAGTATATATACAGTGCAAACTGTAGATATATTCAATTAACCTAGATTCATTCTCCTATTTTTACTTTAATTACGAATATTTAATCGCAAGTTTAGTTGTGAAGGAATTAAACTACACACTGGTGAACCATTAACAGTGCCATAATACAGTGGGTGAGTGAGTAAATGACAGTTTGCACAGGTTAAGTAATTATAATATATTACAGATATACAGGGGGGGGGGGGGGGGGGGGGGGGTGATAAAAATGTAGGCCATTTGATTTAAACATATTTTATTGACACGTCAATCTGGATTGGGAAAAGGTACAGCTTGTTTTCTGGACCCTATTCAAAAATACATTATACATATACACATCATCATAAGCATAGACAAATGATACTATATTTACAAATGTAGCATAAAATACGGAGAAAATATATAATGAATATCGTATCATCAAACTAAGGAATCTTTTGCTTGCGGTGATACATGTATTGTCCTTCTAACTTCGTTTTACACTTTCCGAAATATTTACATTACCCAACATATGTATCACCACTTTTTGAGAATTCAGAAATTAATTGAGAACCGAAATTGGTACACCTTGGGCTTTAAAGAATTTAATGAAAAGCCTGTTCACTTTCTGAACCACAATCGGATGATTGGTTCTAACTAAGATTTACAGGACAATGGTAAGATTTCAGCGTCTTATATTTCAGTCAAGGCAATCCAAACCATTGGTTGAGAAATGAGCCACGTTGTCGAGGTATGATGGAACACAATCACTGAGATCACGTATTGTGAGCCTCATTTCAGTCGGAAAAGAATTGGGACCTATTCTGACCCGGGATACCCACGGTGAGAGAAGTATGGGTTACTGGGGACCAATTCTTCCCCGGATACCCACGGGGAGACAAGTAATAGGGTGTTGGTGATCCATTCTGTCCCCGATTCCGACGGGGAGACAAGCATAGGGTGCTGGGGACCTGTTATTCCCCGTAATCCCCACGGGGAGACGTGTATAGGGTGCTGGGGACCTATTCTGCCTGGGGATCCCCACTGGGAGACAAGTATAGGGTGCTTGAGACCTATTCTGCCTCGGAATCTCCACAGGGTACAATTATAGGCTGGTGGGAACCCATTCTGCCTCGGAATCTCCACAGGATAAAATTATAGGCTGGTGGGAACCTATTCTGCCTCGGAATCTCCACAGGGTACAATTACAGGCTGGTGGGAACCCATTCTGCCTCGGAATCCCTACGGGTAGACGTGTATAGGGTGCTGGGGACCTATTCTGCCTGGGGATCCCCACTGGGAGACAAGTATAGGGTGCTTGAGACCTATTCTGCATCGGAAACCCAACAGGGTACAATTATAGGCTGGTGGGAACCCATTCTGCCTCGGAATCTCCACAGGGTACAATTACAGGCTGGTGGGAACCCATTCTGCCTCGGAATCCCTACGGGGAGACGTGTATAGGGTGCTGGGGACCTATTCTGCCTGGGGATCCCCACTGGGAGACAAGTATAGGGTGCTTGAGACCTATTCTGCATCGGAAACCCCACAGGGTACAATTATAGGCTGGTGGGAACCCATTCTGCCTCGGAATCCCTACGGGTAGACGTGTATAGGGTGCTGGGGACCTATTCTGCCTGGGGATCCCCACTGGAAGACAAGTATAGGGTGCTGGGAACCCATTCTTCCTCGGAATCCCCATGGGGAGACGTGTATAGGGTGCTGGTAACCTATTCTGCACCGGAAACCCCACAGGGTACAATTATAGGGTGCTGGGGATCTATTCTGCCTCGGAATCCCGAAGGGACACAAGTATAGGATGCAGGGGACCTATTCTGCCCCGGAATCCCATATTGGATACAGCGGTGGACCCCCTTTGCCCCGGAATCCCGAGTTTTTCGTTTGTGCAGGGAAAGGAATATTACAAGGGTATGTGTCTTGCCAATAAAATATGTATATGTCGTTAATACGATACTGCTATTAACTAAATTCGTCTCCAATGCTTTCTCAGTATCATTTGACATTTGCAGGGAAAATATAGATAAGACAACTAGGTTTAGGTGAAATTATTATTTCATCAATCGTCCGTTCCGATCAGTGTCTCTAGTTAATAACCGATATGATTTTGATAGGATATACACGACACCAAAGTAGAGTAAATAAGAACACATACAAACTGCTAGGATCTTTGTCTTCTAATAAACACCATTTTACCGATCCAATTTTACGCTAAACTGAAAACACAAAATTTATACTTCGATATTTCTAGAACACACTACAGGTCGACGACATTTACGGTGAATGTTATATAAGAAAACAGATAGAAATTAATTCAATATTTTTATCCTTAAAACGAAAATACTTATGTAGTAGTTTGTTTTGTTTGTTTGTTTGTTTGTTTGCTGTTTAACGCCGCACTCAGCAATACTCAACCGGTCTGTAAATAATCGAATCTGCACTAGACAATCCCGTGATGGACATTATGGGCATCGATCCATGTAATTGGGATACGATGACATGCATCAACCAAGTCAGCAAGTCTGGCCACCCGATCCCGTTAGTCGCCCCTTACGACAAGCATGTCGCTTTTTACGACAAACATGGGTTGCTGAATATCTGTTCTAACCCGGATCTTCACGGGTCTTGTGTAGTAGTAGAAATATTATCCAAACAAGTACCAATCAATAACGATAAATGCAGAAAGAAAATGCATGGCATACTAATAACATTTATTAGCGGGGAATACCATGAAAAAAGCAGATTTACATGCACAGATACATACACTGTACATATACGCACAATAACCTAATATACATACGCGCCATTTGGGGAAGACCTTGCAAAATATGACGTCATGAAAGGAATTTCCGCTGCCATTACTTTTGCGGTGCGTTAAAGTAGGTGCATTGCATTCAAACTGCGGTTTCAGCATGCTTGGTTATGGAAGAAAAACAACGCATAAAGTTAGTGTAACAAATATGGTCGCAGTGTGAATCCAGCCTTAGTGCGCTGACCTTATACTACATCAATATTCAGTATCAGTAAATGACGTGGGTGGGTGAGTTGGGTTTAACGCCGCTTTTAACAGTATTCCAGTTATATCGCGGCGTGTCAGCTTAATGTGGGAGGAAAGCCCGAAGTGATGCAGGTCTCAGACGTTTACCACTTCCCTGAAACCCACGAGGACGGGTATGGTGCTGACAAA